ATACAATTCATGGATAAAGAGATTCACACACCACATACAAACTTGGACTCTTGTATCGGTTGCTCTTCTCATTTCATTCCATTTGTTGGAACCCCTTTTTCTCAATTTCTTTCTTTTTCTTTTTCTTTCATTTCATTTACTAGTGGGGTTCCAACTGCATTTATGCGCGGTCGACCCTTATTGGTTGAGCAAGAGCAATTTCTGTACATCTGTCATTTGCCAGAGTAATTCTTTGAACTCCTTTTCCTCAATTAATGTGGAGGGTCAATGAAATTAAGGGGGGGTCAGAAGCTCTATCCGTTCCCTTAAAAACATATCCTCAAATAGGCAAACCGTTCAACGGGTGAAAATTTTACTTGTACTAGAGACAACTTAGCTTCACCTTGTAGGAGTACCCCACTAAGGATCACTAAAATCTCTTCCAAAACCCGATTTTGTGCAATGAACTGTGCCACACACGTTGGGCTTACCCCATGTTTCGTGTATGTCATGGATGGTTAGTGTGAGTAGTGCTTTTGAAGACCTTGAAGATGATGACCCACATGTCAAGGGTTTTGCTTGTAACTCAAAAGGGAGAGAATGACGTTGGTGTCGAAAGAACTTTGATTTATTAATCGGATATGGAAATACTGCCGAACTTACATATTTATAGGCTTAGAAAAGCCTAATACGTAACCTAATCCTACTCGAATATCTATCTACTCGGCTACCCTAACCCCAAATGCACAAGGAAAACCATAACCCAAAGGAAAAACACCCAAGTCCAATACCCAAGCCCAAAATAACCTCATCAATCCTTCCCCCTCAAAGAACCTTGTCCCCAAGGTTCGGTCCATGCCAAGACATGGTGATCGACGACGATGACAATATTAGGTTTTGCGACGTCGAGGCTTTGATGGCCTCCTGAACTTCCAGCTGGCAGCTCGAACACCGTCCTTCTTCCCCTTATAGGATGGGACTCTTGGCCCCGCAGCTTGGTCATCGGCACATTGGGCTATTGTTTTTTTCAACCCTACCCGACTTGGTGCACGGACATAGCAGGGAAATTCTTCCCTCACCATTATCTTCTTTTTCCCAAGTAAAAATAGGCTTTCCATCCTTATTTGGGCGGACCATCATTGGCTGCCGCAAAACCATATTCATTTGGCCGCAAACTGCCAATCCTGCTACCTCGGATGAAGCTCCAACTTTGAGCTCTTTCTTCTCGCAGCTTCCCGATCGAAGGATGATAGCCTCACATCAGTGAGGTTCATTGGTGCACACTATTTCTTTTTCGAAAATCTTTTGGACGAAGATTTTAATATCCTCAGCCGTCCTAATTTAATTGGCGCTGATGCGGGCCACATCGTTGTCGCTTCGCTTCCCGTTGATGATGGTCATGTTTTTGTGGTTGGAATCCCACCGTGCCAAGATTTCTGAGATCCGTTCAAGAGTCACATCAAGCTTCGCACAACTGCTTCTACCTTCTTTTGAGTCCCCTTGTCCTTTTGTGCTAAGGTGCAGAACGAGGCTAGGTCAAGAACCATGCCAACCCGGTAGGATGCGTAACCATGCTCTGATGCCAATTGGTGATCTGGTACCCACAGTTTAATGGTTTTGCTTGTAACTCACAAGCGAGAGAACGACGTTGGTGTCGAAAGACCTTTGATTGATTAATTGGATACGAAACTACTGTCGAATTACATATTTATAGGCTTAGAAAATCTTAATATGTAACCTAATCCTACCCGAATACCTCCTCCTACTCGGTTACCCTAACCCCAAACGCACAAGGAAAACCATAACCCAAAGGAAAAACACTCAAGTCCGAAACCCAAACCCAAAATAACCCCATTAGAGGAATACGATCCTAGGTCCTCCTAGGAATTTATCATGTGATTTTGCAATAAAGGAAATCCCAAATCATTTGCAATTTGTTGGGCCGCTAAGGACGTGCTACCATCACCGGTGGTTATCACCACCATCCTAACCATTAAAGTAGTAGCTACTCGCAACAAAGATGTTGCCACAATCACAATAATCGCAACCCTTGAAGGCTAACACAAGGGACGTGAGCGTCTCTGCTGGAGGAAGGCGCGGAGCCATCGCCACATGAACTGGAAATTCCAAAAGAAGTCAAACCTGCTTCTTAAAGACAAGAATGTATGGTTTGCATTGCAAGTAACCATTAATCCACACAGAAAGGCAACAGTCACCACCATTGATGAGGCAAAGAATTTGCTAGAAAATGATGTTGCTTCTCGAAGGGTCGAGTACGACGACCAAGGGGGTCAGCCTAGTCAGAGCCATTGGAGCTAAAGCTGGAGGGACCTGCCATTGATGTTGTCCCTTTCAGTCTCCACTATCGCTGCAACTAAAGTTCCTCAATAAATTCCTCTTATTCTTTTCTTCACTTTTTGTTTGGGGAGAGGCGAGGTGAAGGAGATGCTTGATGTGTGTTTGTGGATCCAACTATGATGAGAATACTTATTTCTGATTGAGAATATGTGGAAGCTAGAGTTAGATTTGGGCAAAGGGTGTGTCGGTTTGGGCTAGGGGGTTGGGGAGTGCAGATCACGAGTGGAATCAAGTTCGAGAAAGTGAGAGAATGTCCTTAGCTATGAATTGGGTTGGATACTTCAGTTGGTCGTTTCGATATATAGGTTTTCGATTCAAAACAATCTGAATCGGATATCAAATTTCGACCCGAGAGCTATGTGTATTCGATGTGGCAAATGAAATTATCATTTTGGTTCGGTCTAGTTCGAGTTTACCTAACCAAATGTCCACCTCTGCCACTTAGCCAAATATAGTGTCATTATATATTTTGGGAGTCGTTTGGTTTCTCTGATTGTTAAATCGATGAATTGTGATCAATGTATTATATTATTGATAACGTCGTATTTGCACATGTTTGCACCCTCATTTCTTGATCATTTTGGCTCGATTTTGTGCTTTCTTGGCCTATTTTATGCTAGGTTGTGTTCCTCTGTCACATTTCAGGTCCTAGCACGTAAAGTGAAGTATAGGCGCAAGTTTAAAGTCAAACGGAGATCAAGTGGCGATTTAGGAGAAGAATCTCGGGCATGACTTGAAGAATAATGGATTTCTACCTCATTTTATGGACAAAGAATCTTGTAAACTTTTCATGAAAAGAAAGAGGACGAGACTACGAGCGTCTAGGATCAAACGTCGACTGATTCAGAGCCTGGACGAGGGAGAAACGAAGCATCAAAGATAGTAGAACAAGAGCTGAGGAAGAAACACAGGCAGACTTCCCTAAAAACACGGCCGTGTTTTGTCTAGCACTGCCAGTGTGTTTTATGCTGAGCCTCTCTTGTGAAGACTGCTGAAGGGATGCAAAACACGGGCGGGATTAAACGCACCCGTGTTCCCGCCCGTGTTTCTGCTCCTGCTCAGGATAAGTCTGATTTCTGTGATTTTAGAGATGGGGAGCTGGGTTTTGGATCCCGAACACCCAAGGGACAAACCCTAGAGAGAGAGAGAGAGAGAGAGAGAAACTTGGGAACATTCTTGGAGCTATTTTGGAGAATTTCTTTGCCATTCAAGCTCGAGAATCAAGCTTGGAGATGGTGATTGAAGATCTAGATTAGATTTCTGCATTCTCTCTTTCCTCTATGGAGTAACTTCCCTTCACTTAGGTTATGAGGAACCCTAGGTCCATGTGTTAAGATCTTTGTTGTTTGATCCTTTGGATGCTATACTGTTTGATTTTAATCGATTGAGGCATGATTTGTTGAGTCATTTGAATCATGATCACATTCTCTTGATTTATGCTTTAACCTATGATAGATAGAATCTGATTACGTTAAAAGAGCTTCCTTGATTGATAATAGTGAATTGGTTGTGCGAGAGCCAGTCAATTCATTGCTTTGTACTGGAATTCATTCCACGTAGTGGAGATTTGTGTGAATTGCCTTAGCATTCTATCTCGGTGAGGCTAGTCGCTTGCTGGATAATTTGTCTAAGAGGGCTTGGTCAGCTTAAGAGATTCCAAGCTATTTTCGAATATTTCGCAGTTTAATTAACAGTAAAATGACCGAAGGAAATTACAACTTGGACCTAATTGAGGAGCTAGGTGGAATCATAAATAAGTGAGTTCCCAATATGTAATGAGTAGTTTTACCTAGTTTACCTTGTAGAGTAGTTTAGTTAATCAAATCTTAATTTGGTTTGCTAAATAATGAACTGAACCTGAATAATATTAACTCTAGAGATCCGTGGATGCGATATTTATTACTTGTGCCACTATATTGCAGTCCTTTTCATTGGTTGCACTTGGTCATTGTTAGGAGTTGTGTCGTAGCGTGTCAATTATAGATGTATTGTTGAATTTTGTGTATTGTAATTTACAGTGTTTAATATATGTGATTGTGTTTTCAATGGGTAAAAATGAATGTCACTTTTTAATGGAAATGTCACTTACGTAATTTCTAAAGGTTCAAGTTGGAATAAAAAGAAATCAAATAATCTCAACTGAACAATCACTACAATCACTACAATCTCAACTAAAAACTGAAATTCTACAATTATTCATAATAGATGATTGTTTCTGTCACATCAAATAAACAATACATGAATTGTTTATACATAAAAATCAGAAAAACGATAAATTGTGAACATTACAAACATTGTAACAATTCCAACCAAACAATCACATAAACCAAACCAATACGAGCGGCCGATGACAAATAAAAACAAAATAATTATTATATATATCAAATACAATGAAGATTCGGTGGACCCTTCCGCACACGAGCGTTTGATTTAGTCCAACGAGCTCCCAGCCAATCAGAAGACTAATTTTTGTATGTTAATTAAAATGATAATGATTTTCTGACCAAATAATTATTATTATATTAATTAAAATCCTCCCTCCTCCTCCTGGTGCAACAGAGAAGTATCTACTCGTAGAAAAGGCTGGTTCCTGCCTTGCCTGCAGAGCTCTTTACTTCTTCTTCTTCTTCTCTCAGCTCGCCATCTCTGCGCGGCGCCTCCTCCCTCCCTCCCTCCCTCTTTTCACTTTCTCTCTCTCACACCGCCATTTTCAGTCCAGTATAAAAGTTGTGATTTTGTTCGCCTTTGTTCACAAAAAAAGATAATATGAAAATAAAATGGCAGCGCTGGTTTGGGTTTGGCAGTTTTGATGGCTCAACCTTTTGCGCTCTCTCACTCTCTCTCTAAACTCGCCCCCGTAGATATCTCGTGACATTTGACGATATGGGCCTTCCTTCACTCGATCTGGGGGGAGATCTCCTCTCCTATTCGCATTATGCCTCTCTCCCTCTCTTATCTTCCTCCCACAGCGCCACCCAGTCCTCAAATGTAGAGTGACCCATTTTTGGCTAGCTCCATTTTTGGCAGCCGAATGTGGGTTTGTCTTTTTTTGTTTTCAATCATTTATTTTCCCCCCAAAATTCCCCTCTCTGTAATTTTTCTTGGTATGGGTTGATCGAGGGACCGCCGTCTCCAGCTCTGTTTCCGTTTTTGATCATCTCCATCTTTTTGCATTCCTTTCAATTGCGGCTTGCTGTTTTAGTCTTTTAGCTCTCTGCAACTCACAGTTCCGTTTAGTTCACCGGAGGGGGAAGGAAATCCCAGGCAGGCCAGTATTTCTCTGTCGTGTATTGAAGGTAATTGGAGCAATTCTTCTCACTCTCAAGTTCTAATCTTACTCCACGTCTTGCTTTCAACTCAGTTTGCAGCAGAAGCCGCATTGAACTCTCTGTATCGATTTGAAAGCTATATAGTCCGTTCGTAAATCTGTTGTTGCATGTGTGTGATGATTGCTCGATTACGCGCTTGCTTCCGTGTTCTAGCAATTTCGAGCGTGAGTTGAGCTCGGATTGCCGTGTTTTAGCTCCGGCAATGGCCGCGGCTTGAATGTCTGTCAATTTTACATGAATGTCGGTTTTCTGACTCGTTCACGGACTCAGGCTTGCATCATGCCGAATAGGGGCGAGGAAAAGCGAAAGACAAAGACTCGTCGAGAGTCGTCGGGGGATGAAGACGGGAATAGTGTGGGGAAATGTGATGCAGCCAGTGCTCTAAAGAAGGGGCCATGGACTTCTGCGGAAGATGCAATTCTGATGGAGTACGTTACAACTCACGGAGAAGGCAACTGGAATGCAGTCCAGAGGCACTCTGGATTGTCGAGGTGTGGGAAAAGCTGCAGGCTCCGCTGGGCGAATCATCTAAGGCCCGATTTGAAGAAAGGCGCATTTTCTCCAGAGGAAGAGGGGCTTATTATCGAGCTTCATGCCAAGATGGGCAACAAATGGGCTCGCATGGCTGCCGAGGTAGGTAGATCTTCTTCTCTCACTGCACTTTACTGTTGTTGATTGGACTTGAATGGATGGGGAAATTGCATTGTGTGGTTCTTTCCGACTTCCATCCAAACTAGATGAAGGTGTCATTTCGTTTGAATAACTATCTGCCAAATGGTATTGTTTTTTTTTTTTTTTTGTCATCCTGATTAACACCTTACAATTGGCCGCACTGTTGTTGAAGCTGAGTAAATTCTTCCCAATTTGGTAAGAGTTCAATCTTTGTTGTCTTCATTAACCATGAGTGGGAAAGGGAGATGGCATGTTGCTTGACATGTAATGCAACAATCTTACTACTGGAAATCGCAATCCGGATTATGATACTGATCACTAGGCCTGACTGATGATCAACATCAATCTTATCAGTCAGACACCATGCTTTGCCGAAGTGAAAACTTCTAAAACCGTACTCTGGCTATAACCCTTTTGAGGTTCTGGAATTGGTTTAAATTACAAACTAGTATCAGGCTTCTCCTCCATTTCTCTATTTGGATTCTCTTCTTGTCCTTCCTGCCCTTTTCTGAAATCTGGGTTCCTGCTCGCTGTAAGACTGATGCAACAAAGCAGTCTAAGAGACCTGATGCTTTGGTCTCCACATCTGTCTAGAAACACCAGGGTAATTAATAGGCATTTCATGTTCACAGTATGTGTTTTTCCTGTACAAAAATTACTGCATGTACATATTTAATGGTTGAGCTAATTGAAATGGAGCATCCTTCAAATGTTATCATTAGGCGACCATCATATGGTAGCTTTCGTTTTATACCCACACGTTGAGTAACCTATTTGTCCTCCATAACTTTTTTCCTGCCCTTCTACTTAAGTTGACAATGGAGTATATTATTAAATTTTCTCTGCAGAAATTAGCCACTTCACTCATATTTTAAATTAAAGACTAACATGAACATATGGTCAAAACAATTGTCCTAATGTGCTGTGTGTGTCTGCTGTCATATGTTAACTTATGAGTTTATTCCTCTATAGTAGACTTGAATTGTACTAATGACTAACCTCAAGGGACTTGTTATTTTCATATTCCTGGATGGATATGTGATATTTCTGCAGAACTCGTTGGTTTACTGGGGAAGCTGATGTGTGGCATGCAAAGTTCAAAACAATATTTTGTTTTCTAAATGGTGTATTGATCCTGTATATAGACCTGTCCAAAATAAGTAATGTATTGGTTTGTGGGCAATTAGCTTATTGTATGAGCTATGCCATGCTAGGTCTAATCTGCTGCAAAAGCATGTTGGTAATCTGGAGTAAATAACTGATGCGGTGATTACTTCAATGGCATTCTGCTTTAGAATAATTTAACTTCTGCATTTCATGAGGCTGACTTTCTTTTTTCCGCAGTTGCCTGGACGAACAGATAACGAGATAAAAAATTACTGGAACACAAGAATCAAAAGACTGCTACGTGCTGGACTCCCTATCTATCCTCCTGATGTATGCTTGAAAGTTCTTGAAGGAAATTATGAAACTCAATGCATGGATAGAAATGAGACAACTGGTGGCGACCCAGTGCAGAAGGATCACAGAGAGATCCCAGAACTGGTCTTCAAAAATTTCAAAATCAACCGGGGAGTTCTCTCTTATCTGCCAAACCTTCTCGATGTCCCAGGAAGCAACATTCTGAAACAAGATGGTTTTGGTTCGAGCAATAACTATGGCTTCATGCTCCCAACACTACCACCTCCAAAGCGACTGAGAACTGCTACAGAAGACAGCATTTTCCGTGATGTAGTAGATGTTGGTGGTGTCACTGGCCTCCCAACACCTTTCAGTCAGCTTACTACAGATTATGCTGCTGGTGAGAGGACCCCAGACCCGTTTGCTTTATCCTCTCCATATGATTCTTCTGATGTCAATCTTACTACTTATGATGGGCAGCCACCATTGGCTGCTCTTTCAGGCAGTCATGCCTTCTTAAATGACGACTCTTCTTCTTCTGAGCCCATATCCGGGGCAATGAAGTTGGAGCTCCCTTCACTCCAATATACAGATACTCATCAGCTGGACAGCTGGGCGGCGATGACCCCAACTGCTTCCCCTTTGCTTCCAGTTGAGTCTGTTGATACCAATACTTTGATCCAATCTCCTCCACCGATGACACAGCCACCTCAGTCACTGGGTTGTCTCTCGCCAAGAAGCAGTGGTCTCCTGGAAGCAGTACTCTACGAATCACTGACCCTCACAAACATGAACTGCTCAGCGAACGACCAAGCTTCCGTGGCTGTTTCTATGGAACACCAATTGCCCTATAATTCCAGGAAGAGAGATTGGGGAATGCAAGCTGACCCAATCTCACCATTGGGTCATTCTGCTGCATCAGTGTTCAGCGCATGCACGCCCATGAGTGGAAGCTCGTCCGACGAACCAGGTAAAAGCCAACCTTTATTGTTTATTAATTGATGAGACACATCATTACTATTTGAATATACAGTAATATTTGTTCCCCCCCTTGCATTAGAACATCAACCATTTACTACTACACATCGGATGCAGGGTGTGAAATGAAGCAGGAGATGGGGAGCCAAGTATCGTCCCCGTATGGGGAGGAGAAGCAAACTCCTGCTGGTACAGACTGCATGCAAATAGAGTTCAACAGGCCAGATGTGTTACTTGGCTCGGGCAGCTATTTCGGGTTAAGCTATGGTGGTTGCCTCGAAATGGGTGAACCAACTGCTACTGCTCAAACTGATGCAGCAGGGGGCGGTTGAAGCCTGAAGTTAGTAACCAAAGAACATGAGCCAAGCAAGAGAACAGTAGCAAACCAGGAGCAAACAACGTGTGAATGGATCAAGAATAAGGTTGTTTGTTTAACCTTGTTTGTTGGATTACATTTTCGAGCTTTTAGTTGTTAGCTGGGAGAGTGTTTTGTTTTGGTTTCCATCTGTGAATACCGAGTTGTTCTGTGAGTCATGCATGTTATGAGGAAAACTTTCCAGTGGATGGATAGTCTTTTGCAGGATAGTGAGATAGACGCTGTCTCCAGTGCCATGGATGCTTTTGGCTGATATCCCATTTTCATCGTCATCTCTGGAAGTACAACTGTCCATTTTGCCTTTTTTCCCTTCCAAGTTACTGAAACAAAACAAGAGTATCATATCCAAAAGGTCCTCGTCTGTTTTACCCTTTATTATCTACCTTAACTATTAGCCATTAGGGCAACCTTTCCACAGAGAGTACTTTGAACAGGATTTACCGTGAAATAAAAGATTGTGGTGATTGGAAGAGAACTTTCTATTTTCCAGTAATGAGTTGGGGTGAGCAGTTGGTGGGTTTAAGTGGATTTGGGTGGGTTTGGAACCACCCATTACGTGGTGGGTGAAGGAAAAATAACCTATACCCACCCAATCATTACTTGCGGGTGGGCTGGGTTGGGTGATTACGGATGATGGGTGGTTGGGTGAATTCAGTGAGTTTACAACATATATTCCATATGATCACATAATTTCAATAGTTTTAAACTTAAAATGAAAGAAATGTTAAAATTTATTAACTCTTAATCCATAAATCAGGTGAATAATTTATTTTACAATATTGATATTCGTAATCGTCCACAAATTACAAATATTCAATTGATAAACATGCTCTAAACTCGATAATAACCAAGGTTGAAAAAGGTACTAGGCATAAGCAAAAGTTTTGGTTTTGCCTAGCACCTCATTCGCCTAGGCGTTGTGAGCATAGATAGCTTTTTAACCTACAGTTGCAAATTACAATTCCAAATTGATGGAAGGATTGAAGGATGTATCAGTGGTAGTTTGAGATGGCGTCGTCTCGGGGAAGACAACTGTCTTTTTTCTGCCATTTGTCTACTAGTTATGCTTAAGCGTATCGCCAATTGTATAAGCACACCTCACAACACAATTCTTTGATAGAAATTGAGAGGAATTTTTGTGATTTTTAGGGTTTCATTTTTGGTAAAGCTATATGTTAGAGCTTCTATTGTGTGAGGTTAAAAAGTTGGGTGGGTCGTGGGTCAATCACAATCCACCCGCACCCACTCAATCTTGTGTGGGTCACCTATTTTACAACCAACACTCACCCATAGAAACCACCCACATGATAAGAGGGTTGCTAAACATCGCCCTAATTAACTTAAATCACCCTAACTTTAAAAAATGAATTGACATCTTTATCCTTTTATTTTTTTTATTCTTTGTATATTGTAACACAATAAAAAACAAAAAGAAAACACTCTCTTTCGGAATCAAACTGCAGCCGGCTGCCCACACTAGGAAGATCGCTACTCTGCTCTCCGTCTCCGGACATTATTAAAGTCATCAACCCAAAGGCAAAAAGCATAAGAAGAAAAGGAAATCAAAAGTTCCAATTTAGTTAAGAATTATAAATTAATAATCAGGTTTTAAGTACAAAAAACTACTCATGGAGCTTGCTTTTTAAGATCTCGTCGACGACGACGGAATCAAGAGGCGCCGATGAAATGGGGAGAAGGGCAGAGTGCAGGGAACGGCTGCGGCCATCGGGGAGTATTTGGAGAGGAGGTGTTCCACGACAGTATTGGAGGATTAGAGATTTTAGGATTTTTTATTTAATTTGGTCTGATTAATGAAGGGTAATATGGTAGTTGTATGTTTTATATTAGGGCGATAATAGTAAATGTAGGGCGATGTTTAGCCATCCAGACATGATAATGGGTGGGTCGATTGTGGGTGGATTTGTGGGTTTAACCACCCAATACTCACCCCTAGTAATGAGGTTCACTGGTGCTAATTTTATAGGAGTTAGCAACATACTAACTACTCTAATCATCATTGATTGATTTTAAATTAAATATTACAGTGATAAATAATGAAGGACTCATTCGGTATTTTAGAAACTTAATAAATTAATAAAATTTCTCTTTCATCTTTAGTTGTTGCCTCTCTCTATTAGTGAGTGTTTCTACGTGGGGAAAATAACTACTAAAAATATATACAACCACAGTCATTTAACTTAGTAGCAATTTTGGAATGCTTTTTAATGCTCTAGGTTTGCAACAGCTTCATGGACTGAAGATACTACTTCAATCTTTTCTTCGCCGATGACTCTTATTTATTCCTCCAAGCTTCTACCACTAAATATGCTCATCTTATTCATATGTTGAGATTGTATAAGGATGCTAGTGGACAAAGGGTTAATCTGCATAAATCATCGATATGTTTCAGCTTTAATGTTCCGAAAAATATCTAGGGTTGCCTACTCCTATCCAGCGTTCAAAGTCCTACCTTTCAGTTTGTGGAAGACGCTCTTGCTATGCTTGCATTCAGAGTTGGAGATCTAAAGCCCTTTCCTTGGAGGCTAAAGAGGTGGTGATTAGTGTGGCTGGCTCTACAACACTGATTTGTACTATGTTTTCATTTCGATTTCCATCAACGAGTTGTCGTATATTGAATAGCCAATTAGCTGAGTTTTGGTAGGCATGTTAGGATAAGGATGATGGGATACAATGGATCTCGTGTCCGGCTATATGTGTAAGTTTCATGGGGGCTTTTGGCTTTGGGAAATTTGATTAGTTCAATATGGCAATGTTGGCCAAGCAAATTTGGAAGGTTCTTAAGTCTCCTAATTCCACGCTTGCATGGATATACAAGGCACGATATTATCTCCATTTTAATTTCCTTACTGCTCGGGTAATTGTCCATCTTGGGCTTGACAGGGGTCCTTGAAGGCCGTCATCTCCTTGAGGAGGGGTCTTCAGTGGCAGGTCGGATGTGGGAAAACAATTCTTATTCTTAAGGTCCCTTCCCTTGGCTTCCAAAAACACCACCTTCCTCACCTATTCTTATCTTGGGTGGTTGTCTAACTAATCCTTACGTAGCTTCTATCTCATTCATCCACTCACCAAAACTTGGAATGGAACTTTGATACGTGCAACATTTGGTGCCGAAAGTGGGTGATGGATTCTTTGAATCCCTCTCCCTTCCTCTCGATCCCCAATCCATAGCTTAAATGCATAGTTGTACTCCACAAAACCTGAGTACACCGTGAAAACGGGTTACCAGTTATAATCTGCATCTCGACATGAGCAATTCGATAGACTTCTACCACGTATGGAAAAAAATATGGAAATCATTATGGAATCTACCATCCCTCAGAAGCTGAAGTTTTTCTTGTGGTGGGTTGTGCGAGGTTTCTTGTTCCTGAGAGCGATTCTCCAGACAAGGTCCTTGTGTTCTTCTTCTATATGCCATGTTTGCTCGAATACTGTTGAATGATTCGGGGCTAATTGCACACATTTTACTTCTCATTTCTTAATAGTTTGACTTTGCATTTCATTGTCCCTTGACCTATTTTACGCTAGGTTGTGTTATTTTTTAGACGTTTCAGATCCTAGCACGTGTTGAAGGGTTGAGGACGAGTTTCGGGACGATTGGAGTCGAAAATCGCCAAAAAAGTGAAGAAAACTCTCAAGACGGGCGTGAAATTCGCTGGAAACAGAAGCATTTTGGCATCACACGGGCCTGAAAGATTATCACGGTCGCCTGACCATGATAATTTTCCAGTGACCGTGATGTCGGACCAAAACGGTTCCAACGACCTGCGTTTTCCGACATAACGGTTTGAGCTCCAAAGTCATGGCCGTGATGTTCGGATTGTGAAAGTGACTGCCGAGCTATATAAATAGAAGGCTGCTGGGAGAGAGAAGAGGAGGTTGGATCTGGGGTTGGTTTTACTCTTTTTGGGTTCCCTTCTAGGAGTCCAGCTGAAGAAACCTCAAAGAGGAAACCCTAGTGAGAGAAATTTCTTCTTCTTTAAAATCTAGAGAGAGAGAGAGAGTGATCAACAAGGAGAGGAGAAGAAAATTTGGGCTTACTTCAAGCTAGAGGAGTGAAGATTCTAAACTCTCAAGGGAATTCTCATAAACAAAGAGGGAATACAAGCATCCACCATGGTTCTTTCTTTCATCTTTGTTGTTTTCGTTTGCCTAGCTATGAATTAGAGTTCCTCTTCACTTGGGTATTACGAACCCTAGATCTTTGTATGTGATAGATTGTATGAATCGAATATCTTCTATGTGGGTTGTGTTTCAACGCAAGTATTTAGGTATTTTCATGATGGATTAGTTGTGTTTTCCATTTCTCACTATTGTGCAAATTTGACTTAGGTAGAGGGAAATCCCTTTCTTGCTAAGAGGCTTTTATAAGTTGGAATTCCTTGGCCAATTGAGCCAACTACTTAAGCCGAATTAGGGCAAACCTCATACTACGTTTTAGCGCTTTGAGTTGGTTGTTGTTTTGTGATGACTCGATATTTGCACATGTTTTCCCCTTTGTTTCTTGATCGTTTGAGCTTTATTTATCTCTTCTTTGGCCTATTTTACGCTAGGTTGTGTTACTTTGTCACATTTCAGGTCCTAGCACATAAAGTGAAGCATAGGCGCAAGTTTCAAGTCAATCAGAGATCAATTGGCGATTCGGGAGAAGAAACTCGGGCATGACCTGAAGAAGAATGGATTTCTGCCTCATTTATGGACAAATTATCATGCATGCTTATCATGATAAGAAAAAGGACGAGACTACGAGCGTCTGGGATCAAACGGCGACTGATTCGGAGTCCGGACGAGGGAGAAACAAAGCATTGAATATAGGGGAACAAGTTCGGCAGTAAAAACACGGGCGCGCCTAAATCAAAACACGGCCGTTCGCATATTTAGGCACGACCGTGTTTTGGCCGACGCGCGCGGGCGTGTTTTTAACACGGGGCAAAACACGGACGGGCAAAAGCAAAACACGGTCGTGTCCTCGACGGTGTTTTGCCCAGAATCGGGTTTTTTAGGCAGATTGAAGCCAAAGGAAAGGGAGAGCTGGGTTTTGGATCCCAAACACCCAAGGGACGAACCAAAGAGAGAGAGGGCGATTTGAGGGCATTCTTGGAGTGGAATTGGAGGATTTCTTTGCTTTGGAAGCTCGAGGAACAAGCCCGGACTTGAAGACTGATCATCTGAAGATTCTTACTGCAGTCTCTCTCTTCTCTATGGAGTAACTTCCCTTCACTTAGGTTTTGAGGAACCCTAGCTATGTTTGTTTGATTGGATGATTGTATGAGTACTCTTACTTGATAATCTTGAGTTCATATTCAATCTATGCATGTTTTCATGATTCAATTTTGCTTTAGTCGAGATTATTGATTCTGCTTTGATCCTATGAGAGCGAATACCTGATTAGGTCAACAGAGCACCATAGATTGATAGTAGTGGATCGATTGCTTTAGTCAAGGGTTGATTCACT